AAAAGGAAGAGGTCCCCACTTGCCACAGGCCTCATCAGATCCAGGTCTAGCCCCGATCTTCGCCCCTTGTCAACAGGAAGCACCTCCAGAAGAAGAGACTTTCACCCAACTATCATAAAACAAAAGCCTGGAATGATAGGTCTCCCACTACCTCAGCAGCTATTATGTATAGTAGCTGCCCTCTTCCTATCCTGCCTTGCCCCCTCCCCTGTGTGACATTATGCCAAGATGGTTGCTCCCACCGAAGAACAAACCCTTCTTCCCAGCATGTCCCTGTTCCCGCCTAGAGAGTAACCTAATACTCTCCAGCTAGTGACATCACCGGCTCCTTCATTCCCTAGTCACTACCTCATTCAACCCCACCTCAGCCCCCACAAACCCCACCCCAGTCTCTATAAAAGACTCTCCCTGCCCCGGCCATATTGCTTTTGACTCTCCTTTGTTCAGAGACAGCCCGGCAGATCTGTTTTCCTAATAAAGGCTTGTTGTGGCCTGGTCTGGTCTTGGTTTTCGGCCCTTTTACCTGACAGTGGTGTACTCCTGGGATCCCCGCACCTGGGAGGCCTAAGCAGGAAGGTTGCTGTGAGTACTGCATTGGGATATGGAGGGAGAGTAATGCCAACCATGAGGAAGGCCCTACAACCGAATGTTTGGCATGTTCCAAGAAGAGGAATATTGTGTAGCACTTTATCTGTAAAATAGGCCTGGGAGTAGTTACAATAATGTGTGTAAAGTGCTATAATTAATGCAATACAAGCTACAGGGCAAATGTCCAATAAAGGTTATCCATTGTCCTTTGTTATCCCCCACACATACACCTACACACACTATGCTAAGGCAAAAAGAAGGCTCTGTGAAAATAAACGCGGTGCCATCTTCCTTGGAGGCTGCCAAATGAGTGGCTCAAAACAGCTTTCAGTTCCAAAGAAGATGGAAGTTGTTTTTGAGACAGGCGGCAAGGGAGAACTTGCTCAGAGCCAAACTGAGCTGGGTGAATGGGCAGGGGGATTTCAATAGGTAGACAGCCCCGTGCTTAAAGAGAAAATTAATAGCTTATACATATTCATACTAAGCAAGAAAGACTAAAAATGAATTAAACATTTGATTCATGTAGTTAGAAAAAGAGCATCAGAACAAGCCAAGGAAAGGATTAAATAAACAACATACAGAACTGGCAGAAAGTCTGGACAAGCTCGAGTTATGCAATCCTAGAAAACCCGAAGGTATGCAAAAAGACTTCTGATCTCCAAAGCTGGGAACAGCTGTAATTTCAGTTCCAAAAGAGACTTAAGGGGGGGGGTGGTATTTGGCTTAGGAAAAAAATATTCAAACAGAATAGCTGAGGAATGAATTGCCTGGTCATTAGGGAGTGGGGTGAGAGGCAGGGCTGAGCGTTGTCACACACTAACTGGCCCACGAAGTGCTGACTTGCTTTGGGTTTGCTGAAGGTCGCTGATTACAGATGAGTGAGTGCCTGCCAAACCAGAGGTCTGACAGCCGTACTCAGCACGTTGTTTCACCACACACAGGTATCTGAGCCGGTCTGTTCACTGCTTAACTTGCTCCAGCGGTAATGACAGACCTCAAAATTTATACAGATCCTAATTTAATTTTTAATCTAGCAAGGTCTGCCCAAACTATATATGACTTTATATAGATTCATTTGAATCAAATAAAGCTCACATGAATGCTTTGCACACAGTGGGCATTCAATAAATGTCTGTTGACATTAACTCCTAAGAATCACTGTGCTGTCACACTCAACCCTGGGATATTTGAGAGTTCAGTCACGTGTCATGGGTGGAAGTGTTTCTCCTCCAAAGATGGTAGAGCTGTGATACTGGGATCACCTCATACCTCAGAACATGCCCTTGCTGGGATGTAGGGTTGTCACAGACGTAATTAGTTAAAAGTAGGTCATTCTGGAGTTGAGTCAGCCCTTAACCCAATATGATGTGAAGACACTGGGGTGAATGCCACGGGATGATGAGACTGAAGTTAAATAGCTGCAGGCCAAGGGACTCGGAAGGTCACTAGCAGCTAAGAGATGGAAACTGATTCTGTCCTTGAGTCTGAGAGACCACAACCCTGCCGCCAGCTTCATTTTGCCTAGTAACCTCCAGAACAGTGAGAGAGTAACTTTTCATCGTTTTAAGCCTCCCAGGTTGTGGTACTTTGCCATGGCAACCCTAGGAAATGTATGTACGTGCATATATATGTGTGTTAGTTCATACTGTAAGTTACTTGAGTGAGAATAAAAGAACAGAAAGGCTTAGTGTCTGAGAAGCCATGAGCAGGACTGTAGTGGGGAAGAGAGGAGAAAGGTGCGTCAGTGTTGCAGTCAGGGTTTGCAAGGGAACAGATTTAATACACACATTTAATAAACGAACAGATTCAATAAGTACAGATTTAATACATGATTTATAGCATTATTTTATAATATTCACCCCAAAAGTCAAATGCAGAGGAGTGCAAGAGATCTGTCCACATGCTAGAAACCCGAAGAGTACAGCTGAGGGCCTGGGTCCCACACTAATGTCCTGCACAAGTCCAGCCAGAGGCCTAGAGCCCACAGCAATGTCTCATGCAAGTCCGTATGGAGGATCTGCACCAGGAAGGCCCAAAGGCAAGTGGAGGAAGCTAGAAAGTCTGCACTGGTGGGGTGAAGGGTCTGTGCCCCCAGGCTGAGGGATCTGCACTGCAGCCAGGAAGCGATGCTCAAGGCAAAGACCACAGCTCCCCTGAGGAAACAGCAGCCATCTCCAGTGACAGCCAGGACCTGAGCTTCTCCTCTGACAAGAACAGCCAAGTTCGCATCAGGAAAACCAGGATTTTCTTCTTCAAGAAAATCAACAGCCAACAATCTTCCTTCTCTCCAGTTTTCATTGTTTTCGTTGGCAACAATCCTCAGGTGGGTCTTCCACACCCAGAACCATGCTGACTCACTTCAGCTGGGCATTCCAAGTTGACCATTAGTTAATCCAGCACAATCAGTTACAGACTACCATAGAAAGTCACTCCTGGCTTACTACAACAGGACATTTTTCTATCCCAATTGTGTTGGTTCTCTTGCTGGTTTCTCCTGGGCTCAGTTATGCGTCTAAAACTGGCAGCTCAGCTGGGATGGCCAGGCCTCACAGAGAAGGACTCTGCTGTAGTTATCTATTTCACTTTAATAAGCTAGTTCAAAACTTAGCAGGGTTAAACAACAAAATCTATTATCTCACTTTTTCCATGAGTCTGGAATCCAGGCACAGCGCAGCTAGGTGCCTTTGCCTCTGTCTCACTTGATGTCGCAAAGTATTGGCTGGAGCTACTGTCGTGTCAAGCCACAACCCAGGAGGGATCAACTTCCAAGCTCACTTGTAGCTGTGATAGGTCCTGCATAGCTATGGGCTAAATGTATATTTCAATACTGAACAAAGAGAGAAAGTCCACAGTCTGGTGGAACTAACATTCCACCAGGGAGAGAGAGAAGAGGCAAACACATAAGTGAACATATAAATACCAGGTTTGTAAAGGTGTGACAAAGAAAATATAGCAGTGAAAGGGAAGATAGGGTGAGGATAGGACCATTGAGAAGGGTTGTCAGATAGGCTAAGAAGGTTGTCAGAGACCTAAAGAAAAGTGGAAGCTAGACATTTAGGTATCTTGAGGAAGAATGTTTTAGAGAACATGAGAAAGGCAAGTACAGAGGTCCTAAGGAAGGGGTGGGTGTGCTTGTCTCTTCAAAGGACAGTAGAGAACCCAGTGTAATGAATCAGAGAAAGCAAGGAGGATAACAGGAAAATTCAGAGTCAGGCATGGTGGCATATGCCTGTAATACCAGTCATCTGGGAGGCTGAGGCAGGAGGACTGCAAGTTCGAGCCCAGCATGGGCAACTTAGCAACTTAGGGAGATAAATAAAACATAAAAAGGGTAGATTCAGGAAGGTTGTGAAGGTCCAGATCTCATGAGGCTTTATCAGTCATTGTGGTAAATGTATTATCCAAAGATGGCTACAACATATGACCACCTTATAGTCCACATGCTCTTGTAATATGTGACTTTGACACTATTCCAATCAAGAGGAGGGATCTGTGTCCCTCTACTTTTTAATTTAATTTAATTTTTGAGACAGGGTCTCTCTGTGTAGTTCAGGCTGGTCTTGAACTCACTAGCCCAAGATGGCCTTGAATTAACATCAGTGCTCCTGCCTCAGCCTCCTGAGTGCTGGGATTACAGGTGTATGCCACCACACTCCACATTCTGTCCCTCTAACTTTAAACTGGCTTTGCTTTTGTTGACTATTTGACCAATTAAGGATGGTGGAAATGATGCTATGTGACTTCCAAGGCTGTGTACATCAAAAGACAGTGCAGCTTCTGATTTGTTCATTGGATTACTCACTTTTGGAAGCCTGCATCTGCCTCTTAGGGAGTCTGACTACTCCCAAGGACAACATACTAGAAGAAAGCACAAATTAATCCACATGGAGAAGCCACTTCAGGAAGCTGTGAGACTACATGGGGAATGTAGCGTTTCACCCCTCTGTGCTCCAGCTCCAGCCATCCGAGTATACTTGCATGAGACCGCTCCAGCCAAACATCATCTGAGCCTCACCCAGCTTGCTGGCTCAAAGTCACCAAGAGAGAAAATACAGTGGCGCAGTGGTTTTAAGCAAAAATGCAAGAAAGAGAAGACGATGGTTTGCATTTGTGTGATAGTAGTACATGTGATGAGAACTGAATACATGTATTCATTTTCCAACTTACAGAAAGTTGCCAAGTACAGTACAAAGAATCTTTTCCCCTCAAACCATCTAGGATATTTCATTACTCTTGAATACTTCAGTGTGCATTTCCACAATGACATTTTTGCATAACTACCATATAATTTTTCAAAATCAGAAAATAACATGACTACTATCTCATCTAAGGCTCTAATTTTCCCCAAATGTCCCGTTCATGTCTTTTTATAACAAAAGTTATGAAATTACACATTGTGTTTAGATGTGTGATTTTTTTCAAAACAACATATTGCATTTGGTGGACATGTTCTTATTCTCTTTTAGTCTGGAACAGGTCCTCAGTCTTTATTGACTATCATGACCTTGACATTCATGGTCAAAATTGTGTGAAAGTCATTTTGTTGGACAACCTCCGTTGAGTTATCTGATGTTTCCTCATGATTATGTTGAGCTTATGCATATTTGGTGGGAATATCACAGAAGTGGTGCTGTGTTCTTGCTGCATTCCAACAGATGGCAGATGATTTCAGTGTGTTGGATTTACTGATGAAGTTAACTTTGATCATCTGGCTAAGGTGGTATCTGCCAGGTTTTTCCAATGGTAAACTGTTCTTTTTCCCATATGTAATTCATAGGTATTCTGTGATAAGATAATTTGAGACTTTGTAAATAACTCATCCTTCATCAAACATTTATTCATTTATATGTACTTATATGATTCCTATTTTATGAAATAGATTATAATCCACAGTCATCAGTATTTTGATGTTCAGTTCATTTCACTTTTGCTGAATAAAATCTCCTTCAATTAGTCTCTGTGTCTTTCTGACATGCCCTCATTATTCTTTATGTACTTCATTTCTTTCTGGCATACTAAGAAGATCCAGACTCATCTTGTATATACAAGAAACACATTGAAATGTCTGAGATCAACCTTTTCTCCAAGGACCCCTGCTTTTCTTTAGTGAAAAATGGAACTTAGAAACCAGTTCTGTGCACAAATAAGAGTGCTCATTACCATTAATATGTCACTGCTTTGATGCACTCTTTAAAGCATAAACCTCAGGAACATGTAAATAAACATACATACATATATATAAATTTACACATACTTGTATATGCCTATATTTATTTCTGTATCTATGCATTATTGAAAACCATGAGTTCATACTGATACCTTCAATTCTGATCTAACACTCCAGGATTTATTGTCATTCTCTCCCTTCCAAGTTTCTTTTCTGATCTCTTAACCTCACTGCAGTCCTAGTCATGATGTCTCCTCAAACACTGAGCCCATGCACTCCTTTGATCTTACCTCCCTAACACGTGGTAGGATTTTGAGTTAGTGTCTCTGACGGAGACCTTGACCCCCATGTCCCTTGGGTAGTCTCTTGTATGGTAATCACTCTGTGTATGGCCAGTCTTCTACCACCACTGCCTACCCATTCTCTGTACAGACAGATACCCTTCACCCCACTTGGGTTCTAGGACTGCATGCTGGACCTTTCACCACCACCCCAGCATGGGGATACCCTTCTCACCTTGCTGGGCTTATGACACTATATTGGACCACTCCCTGCACAGACATCCTGTCAGCACTTCTGGCTCTGATGTCACACGCCAGGCTCCAAAACCCTGTGCCCCAGTGTACTGCCCTCTACACGGGGATGTCTCCCTCATTCTCTCAGGCTCTGATACTTGTCCTAGACAGATACCTTTTTCATAAGTATATTTTGAACGTAGACTCAACAGGTATCCTCACTAACTGACAATGGTAAGATTGTAAGAGAAACAAATTTGGAGGAGAATATTAGAGCTATTTTTGCATAAGCTGAGTTTGAGGTGCCTGTTGGACATCCTGGGGGAGATGGTAAGGAAGCAGGTAGTTGTATAAACTTTAAACACATGGTAGAGGTTCAGAAGGAGCTATAAACTTGTGAGTTATCAGCACATTTAAATTCATGAGATAGTTTGAGTTTATAAAACTCACTGAGCAAGTGAGGAGAAGAGGTCTGAAATCTGAGTTCCAGGGCCCTCCAACATTTAAGGGTGAAGGATAAGGAAGAAATATTGAAGGAGCCTACCAGAGAGAGAGCAGTATGTTAGTAAGAAAACTGAGTGAGTGTTATTGTGGAAGTCAACTGAAGAATGTGTTTCAAAAAGGGAGTGATTAAATGTTCCAAATTCTGATGACATGTAGGAATGAGAGCTGACTAGAAATTACTTACAATTGTCAAGAAAACATCGATAAAGTAGATTATTTTTCATTTAGAATTTATGGATAAAAATATAAGCATAGTTTTACCCCAAATCCCATAGCTATTCAGCAACTAAACAACTTCAAAAAATGCTGCATGGGGCCGGGGATTTAGCTCAGTGGTTTTGCCACCTGCTGCACAAGTGCAAGGACCCGAGTTCGATCCCTGGTACCTAAAAAAAAAAAAAAAAATGCTGCATGGAATATAAGAAATGCTTTCTCTGAGGATTAACTTCGGGATTATACTTCAAGCAGACTAGAAGTAGGATATTGGGGGGAGGGAAGAGTGAGTATTTAGACAGAAGTAGGGAGCAGAGGAGGAAGAACTCAGACCATCAGGTCAAATATTTTAACACTTTGCAAAAGCAACAGAAGAGGGAGCCTAGGAGCTAAGACAATTGTGTCACAACACTCCCTTGGAAGGATATATAACCAAGAATATCTAGAAAAGCCCTAAAAAATAAAAGCCTTGAGAAGGAGCTACCACTACCGTTATTTTGTGCTCCTATAACAGACTACTTGAGACTAAGTAACTTATAATGAAGCCAAATATATTGCCTCTTCCTGGAGGCCAGGAAGTTCAAGGTCAAGGTGCCAGCATCTGGAGAGGGGCTTATTATGTCATCACACAGTGGAAGGTAAAAGGAGGGGGCAGGGAACCATGCCCAAATATCCTTTAGCAAAGTACCAAACTTGCCCATGAGAGTGGAGCGAAACTGCCCAAAGGTCTGCCTCCCCCACCATCACAATGGCAATTAAATTTCAACCTGAGTTTTGGAAGGAAAAAACTGCAGCATTCCACTCCTGGGGTCTGCAAACTGATGTCCTTCCATATAAACTACATTCATTTGGGCCAGGGATTTAGCTCAGTGGTTCAGCACCTGCCTCAAAAGCACAAGGTCCCGAGTTCGATCCCCAGTACCAAAAATAAGATAAAATAAAATACATTCATTCCATCCCAGTAAGCCCAAAAGTCTTAATGTATTTCAGGATCAACTTTCTCTCTCACTGTAAGCCTGTGAAATTAAGTATTACATGCTTCCAAAATACAGGGGCAGACAGGCATAGAATAGACAGTCCCGTTCCAAAATGGAAAAATAAGAAGGAAGAAAGGCCCAAATAGTTAGGCATGGTGGTGAGCATCTCTAATCCTCACACTCAGCAGGCTGAGCCAGGAGAATTGTCAAGTGTTTGAGGCCATCCTCGGCCACATAGTGAGTTCAAGGCCAGCCTGAACTACATAGTGAGACCCTGCCTCAAACAATCAAACAAAAAACAAATCCCAAATAGGTTCCAAGCCCAACAGGGAAAACAACAAAAGAGCTAAAGGCCTAAGAACAATCTACTTTGACTCCATGTCCTACCATCCGGACACAGCAGGGCAAGTCTTGGGCCCTCGTGGCTCCTGACAGCAGGCCCCATGGTCTTTGTCTTGCCAGGTGTAGTCCGTGCCACTCTCACGGATGGAATCAGGAGCCTGTGGCTTTCCCACTATGGCACTGTACACTGGTGGCTGGACAGTCATAGGGTCTGAAGCATGAACCGGCTCCCACTCTGCACTATGGAGCCTTCTCAGAGTCTCTGTGCAGTGGTACAGCCTGTTTGAACCCCAAACCTGTCCACGAGGTCCTCCAACCTCTAGACAGAAAAAGCTGTATCTCCACAGCTCTTGCATTCTTGGAGGATGCAGAGTTCGCACCATGTAGATGCCGCTGACGTCCACCACTTGCACCCTCCAGAGTGGTGGCCTGAGCTGTACACAGGGTCACAGGAGCGACAGCTGGGGCAGCTGAAGAGCTCCGTGCTGGAAAGCCAGGAACACAGTCACGAGCTAGCATGGGCACTGAGCTAGGAAACTGCTGTTCCCTAGAGGGCCCAGCACCTTGAACCTGTGTTAGGAGAGGATGGGAATGTGGAAGGTCTGAGAGGTCATTCTCCACTGTCTTGATGAACAAGCACCTGGCTTCCTCTTAGCCATAATAGGTCTTTTAGCCACAACCTTGTTTTTTTTCTCCAAAACATGTTTTTTGGGTTTTTTTTCTCTAAGCATTATTTTTAACATGGTCAGGCCAGGGATTTTCCAAATCTTTATGGTCTGCTTCCTTTTATTTATTTACTTTTGGTACCGGGATTGAACTGAGGACCTTGAGCTTGCAAGGCAGGTATGGCACCACTGAGCTAAGTCCCTGGCCGAGTCTGCTTCCTTTTAAAAAGACTTTTAAAGTCTTTAATGTCTATACTTCTATCAGTATTCTGGTTAAGATTATTTAAGTAACGTCTCCTATTCTTTCTAGCCCTCTTCATCCTTACTGATCCACTCATAGTATTACAGAAGTTTTCTAGCATTCATTTTAAAACTGTCACAGTCTTTACCCATTACCAGTTTCAAAGCTACTCCCACACTATTAGGTACTTGGTAGAGCAACACCCCTCTTCTCTGGTACCAATTTGTCTTAGCTTATTTTGTCACAGAACCCTGAGACTGGGAATTAATAACAAAGAGAAATTTATTGGTGTACAGTTCTGGAAGCTGGGAAGTCCAAAATTGGATGGTGGTATAAAGAAATTTTTGTTAAAGAGGTGTTGAAGGACAAAAAGAAAAAACAAACAAACAAAACTCTGATTGTCTCTTGGGGGAGGAGGGACAGCAGTGAGGCACAGACTTCCCCAATAATTCTTTGGTTTGTAGATTTGACTTTGATAATTATGTGACAAGATTTCATATTTTAAAAAGTAATCTCTAGAGCAAGGTGTCATGGTGCGTGCTGTAATCCCAGTACTCTGGAAGGCTGAGGCAGGAGGATCACTACTTTGAGGCAAGCCTGCACCGCATAGTGAGACCCTTTCTAAACAAACAACCAAGCAAACAAACAAAGAGCAGTCTCTAAAAGTCTTCATTTTCTTGATCTAGGACCTCATGTACTCCCATGAGGATAACTACCTTGACATTCATGGGATTTTTCAAACACAGGACTTTTTACTCTCACAGGATGCAAGGTCTTGAGCAAAATACTTAACCTCTCTTAGCTTCCTTCCAAATGTCATTGAAAAGGGGAGAGGGTAAGATCTACCTTATGGGATTGTTGGGTGATTTAGATGAGATTATATATATAAAATGCCAAGCACATACTGAGTATTTTCTTCTCATCTTCTTTTCATTCAATGAAGTAGTAAGTACTATAGAAAGGAAGAAGGGAAGCAAAGGGAAATGTGAATCTGCAGATAATTTTTTTAAATAGAAAATATTTGCAACCTTTACCCCATCAAATATTTCCTCACAGCAGAATGAGCTGGCACAGAAATTAAGTGCAAATTAGAAAAGCTGATTCTTACCTCCTTCTGACTCACTTTCTAACAGCTTGTAGAACTGGCAAGAATGGAAC